AGAAAAACCAAGTATGGGATCAAAGTAAGCCGTAAAAGGAAAGTGATTTGATATTGGAGTGATGTATATGGAGCCTGATGGAGTAGACTTGTCCTGTGCTGCACTGGGAATGGGAAGCCAGCTTGTGTGCAGTTTCTTTGATTGGTTCTCTGCTGTTTTTTCTGACTTTGCAGATTCATCTTTAGAGCTCTATGTCCTCATCCATAACCTGGACAGCCAGATGTTAAGAGGAGAAAGAAGTCAGCAGATCCTTGCACAGCTGTCATCTCTGCCCAGTGTTTACCTCATTGCCTCTATTGATCACATCAATGCTCCTCTCAGTGAGTTCCCTGATCTAGCAAAGAGAAGAATCTGCATTCTGCTTTGGGGCTGCTGTTTCATAACCTCGTGTATTACTGTTGATTTGTAGAACAGTTCTGTTGATGTGTGTATAATCCCCATGGGGACTATGGTGGTACTGAACCGAAACTGTATAAAGATACTGAGAAGTAATACTGATCATAATATACAAATAGATTCCTAGCTTCTGGCACCGTTTGATTTTAGGGACTTACTGAATTAGAAATTGGATGTTATGTCTGTCATTGCAACTTAACAATTTTGTTTATCAGGCAGTGTTGGGGGCAGAACAGAAGCTTCAGACAAAGTTGATTAGAGAAGCCCTCCCATTGAGCCATGAGGTGCAGATGGACCCCCCCTGCTTTCTAAACTCGTCCTCAGAGAGGAGTCTAGTTGTGGCTGGACCCAATCTTAGTGCCAGACTTAGTAGATAGTTTATGTCTAAAGGATTATATTAGGTGTAATTGAACTTTGTCTCACAGGATTAAGGATGGCAAACCAAATACATAAATAAATGTGTTTTTTTTAAATTAAGATGATGACTAGACTAAAAGATCTTAATCAGAATTATTTAGTACAGAGTATAGGTGGCTATAACTACTAGTACAGTGCACTATTTTTGAAGGAATATTGAAGCGCTTATATTAAAGCTAGCAAAAACAATTATTAAGTAGAGATTGATGCTACTTACCCATACCAACAACTGTGGGCAAATCTCTTTAGTTCAGCCTTGAGAAGTAACTTCGAGGAGCATCCCCACTCAAGGAAGGAATCTCCACACACTCTGAGAAGGGTATTGTTCAAGCTGGTTTACCCACACTCTGGGCAGAGCATCCAGCTGCAGCTGGTTGCACACTGTTGACTCTGGAAGGATTTACAGTCTATCTATGGAACTGGTATGGAAAAGGGATGCATGCAAATGTTTTGTTGAAGAGAAATTGTCTTGCTGGAACAGCAAGTATCTGGGTCTCTGTACTGTGAATTTCACAAGCATGCATAGTTTCCTCAGTCCTACAGTAGAACTATGTACATTTTAATATTGCTTATTTAACACCTTAGAAAAGATAAATCTCCCAATTTTGTCTGCTTGCTCTTTTCTCTCTGTCTAGTGTGGGATCAGGCAAAGCTGAGTCTCTATAACTGGCTTTGGTATGAAACAACCACATTTAGTCCTTACGTGGAAGAAACATCTTATGAGAATTCGCTTTTAGTACAGCAGTCTGGATCTTTGGCTTTGAGCTCCCTCACGCATGTCCTGCGCAGTCTCACTCCCAATGCCAGGTAAGACACTCTTACACTTCGTAGTAGCACTTGCTGAGGACACAGTCCTTACAATCCATTTCTCTGACAACAGTGTTGAAGATGAAGATAGCAGGACCTGGGTTCCAGTTGAGTGGTTACTTTAAATAAAGAGCATTTGGATAGCAAACCTTGTCCAGTGATAGGATTCACAACTAGGTCTTTGTGCAAAAGGGCACAAAGGTGGGGGTTTTGGGTTGTTTCTCAATTACTATTTTTATTTTGATTTTCTCCTTTCCTCCTTTCAATTAGGGGGATATTCAGACTGCTTGCTCAGTACCAGCTGGAGAAAAAGGACAACCCATCTTACCCAGGTAAGTACCCACCTTTGCTCATCTGTTTGGGGTGTTGCCATTCACAGCAGCCCTGGCTTTTGGTATGCAGGTTACATCTCCAGCAACAGAAGTGCTACAGCAGTCGGCTCAGTGTCTTTCTAAGTGGCACTGTGTCTGACTGACAGGAAATCAATAGACTGGCTGGTTCTGATGGATCTGCTCTCACTGTTGTCTGCTTTGATTCTTAGACATGACTGAGACCATTCATGGGGGGCTGTGGAGTTAAAAAAAATTAAAATGAAGTCTATGAATTTGCATAACTTGCACCTAAAGGACCAGGGAAAGATAGATGATTTTTTTCCCATGCTGCTCCTGTCTAGGTGGCTTCTGATGTATCCCTGCTATACATGTGGAATATTCTGTCACCATCTGTAATAGGTGCTGCAGTGGATATGAATAACTTTTTAATGGTAAAGAAAGTAAGATAGAGTTGGAAATTAGAGAGATTAACCATGTTGGAAAGTGCATTTAAAGTGCTATTAAAATTCCTTTAGGCAACAGTGTGACTGGAATGTTAATTCAGTGGTTTTCCATTAATTACTAAAATATTAGCTTGGATGTGTACTTGAAAGAGGTGATGTTACTGTAGGCACTGTGGTCTGAGCCAAAGCAAGGCTTTCAGGCAGAGAAAGTATGTGGCATTAGACCTGGAATATTCTGACAATCTTACCACTTTCCATTTCTTGTTCTTGACTTTTTCTGTCTCCAGGGCTGTCTTTCCAAGACTTTTACCAGCAGTGTCGGGAGGCTTTCCTTGTGAACAGTGACCTGACACTCAGGGCACAGCTGACAGAATTCAGGGACCACAAGCTCATCCGGACCAAGCGGGTGAGTTGAGGGAAGAATATAATTCTGGATTTTACTTTAAATCACTTTAATATAATAATAATAAAAAAATAATAAAACCACTTTAAATAAAAAAGATGCTTAATTGCTACTAAGTGAGGCTGTATTATTTTAAACACCTAGGAACTAGCAAGGGGCTGAAATTCTGTAATTGCAGCTCTTTCCATGCCTCCAATTTGTCAACACCCTTTACATGCTGTAAAAATGCAGCGTGCTTTGGTTACTCAGCAACCTACATGTCTCTTCTTCCTGAAGACTGTGAGAAATAATGGACTGTGGAGCCTGCCAGTCTGCTGCCAATAGTTAGCTCTATTTTCACAAGAAAAGAATGCAGACTCATCCTAATAATGAGGCAATATAGCAGTACTAGATATGGTGAGCTGTGTAGTGTCAGACTAGCACAACACACAAGAAGATTTATCCTATACTGACTTTTCTCAGTATTTGTGCATTTCCAGCATTGCTCTAGTGAAATATTTCTGGTTTTTAGTAAAGTAGTCCTTCAGAATGCTGGCCAGCTCTCGTCCAGACTGCAGATAAATGCTAGCATTGCAGTGCTGTCTGGTGGCTTGCCTTGTCCTTTACACTGCTGTTAACAAAACGTGTATGTCTGTCTGTTCTCAGGGAGCTGATGGTGTGGAATACTTATTAATTCCTGTGGATGACAGTACCTTGACCGACTTCTTAGAGAATCAGGATGAAGATGCGTAATGTCTCTGTGTTCTCAAAAGCATCTATGGCAAATGCTCTCAAGGGCTGCTGGAGAGGGGCCTATACTCAGATCTCTCTTCTTCCAACCCCACGGCTGCTGGACTGAAAAGTGTTAATTCTAATGAGCCATGCTCATTGTTCAGGTGGTTTGGAATGATGACTTCTGTAAGCACAGCATCTCTTGTGCTGTAGTTGGATTTGTCTGCTTTGTCTCTTAGCTCAGATAACGCCACCTTCATATCTGTGCAGCCACTCTTACAGCCAGAAAAGCAAACTCAGTAAGACTGTGCCTTCTGCTCTCTACCTCACCAGACATGAGGGTTTGATTGGAGCAATGTACTTGGGAAGCGCAAGTCACAAGATGGTCACGGCTTTAGTTTGTACTCATGGTGCAACTTTTGTCAGCTGAGTGCTTTCCAGTACTCCTTTACCATTTAGACAAAGCTAGCTTCCAGTGTATGAAGAAGCCAAGATTTAAAATGCTAGGAGACCTACCTTGATTGCATGAGGAAAGGAGAATACTAGTGGGTTTGGGATGCTGTGGGTAACTTAGTAAATTCTGGCAATAGAACTGAAGGACTTGTCCCAGACCTACATCCTTTTATAAGAAGATTTAGATGATCTAAATTGTGATAGACTCAAGTCATTACCTGCTATTTTGCAAGGTGCAATCCAGAAAGATGAAAAGGCTGTGAAGCTTTTTTGTTTATTTTTTTAAAGCTTGATTGTATATTTGTATTTTTTACATCAGGAGTGTCCGTTGATCCTGAAGGAGGCCTTAAATGCCACTTATAAGCTCTCCCTTTTTTTAAGCCCTTAGGAGGTTGGGAGACCACTGAAGTTGGACATCTTCACTTTTTTTTTCTCAGTTATGTGAGAGGAAGCTCTATACTTCCATCAACTGTATTCTGCCAGCCAGACACTTCAGGGATTCTGTATGTTTAACATTTGGTAGCCCTGTTACAGCTCAGTGTTGTAATAGTTTAGACTATCAAATAAAGTACCTTATTAATTTTCATTAGCTTGTCTTGTCTTCCACAATCTTTTTATGATATAGGAAGATAGAGATCCTTGTGGCAATTGTGCAAAAGCCTCATTTTCATTACTATGTCAAATATCTGAGCAAATCCTCATACAGCGGGCAGAAGATTTCAAACTAGTTAGTAAAAATACATTGTTTCTTATAAGGTATCAAAATTAAGAATGGTTTCCCTGCCTTTTAATACCACTATATAGCTTTTGAAGAGAACCAGAACATCCCATGGAGTAATAGTTACCTCATCTGCCCCTCAGTTACAGGAGCAACAGAGAGGTACAGCCAGACTTTTGTTTGTATTAGAAAAATCAGGGCATCTGCTTATCCCACTACCAACTTGATTCTTCAAACCAATCCTAGAGTATCATGGTTATCAAATATATCTAATAAGAGCAAGGAGTAACAGTAGATTTATTCAGGTGCAGCCCAGTAAGTGAATAAACAAAACAAGTATTTATTTTTCTGACATGACAAATTATACCCCAAACTTTGAGGGACTGTACAATACAATCATTCTGTACTGAACCAATTGAAAACACCTCCATTAAGCTTGCAGTTGGACAGGTCTGTGCAAGATACCATGATTGAATGAATTCTCTCTCTCCTATGGTTTTTCCCCTATGCCACCTGGAGAGGATCTCTGTCTTTCTCAGACACAATGATGCTGATTTTGTTCTGTAGGTGGGTCGCTAGCACGTCACGCAGCTCTGACAAGAAGCCTCGCTCAGTGTTACTGTGCTCACACAGAATAACACTTATCCCATTGGCAACTGCATCCAGAACGTCATGGTGGGACATCTCTCCTGCCATTTTGAGAAAGAAATGTTATGTAGATCACTAATAACACAGTTGAGGTAACCAGGTCTTTGCAGATTTTGCAGACTACATTATATTCCACTTTCTATAAGGGAATTCTGTAGGAAATGGAGGGAGTATCTTGTGTCTTGCCAAAGGAGAAACACACTGAAAGTTGCAACACATTGTCATCAACACTGATTCTGTGTTGAAATAATGCATGTATAACAATGTTTTAATTCAAATAACTTCCACTGTGCCACACAGCCTCTGATCCACGTTATCTCTACTTAAATGGTATTCTTCTATCATTCCAATAACTAACCGATTGTTTCTCAATTATAAATAACAAGTAACTCTTTCTGGCCAAATCTTTTAACAATCAGTCAACTCTTATTTTTTTTCCTGGCTTGTTGTTTGTTTGTTTGTTTGTTTCTAGTGACTGTTTTTGTAAAGATAATGAAACAGCAACATAATCTTTTACCTGTGAGGTAGATGTCAGCTTCTGTTCCCTTCAGGACACTGCTCCCAGAACCAGCACACAGAGCAGCTTTCTTCACTGGCGATTCTGCAGGACACAAGGTGCCACAGTTAAACTTTGTTCAGCCCTCATGTCTGTACTGATTAATTGTTTCACTATAAGTACCTTGATTTTAGAGTCAATGTAAGTTTGTTGCAGTTGGAGACACATCTGTCAGTTTGAAGTGTCATGGGCCTGTAACATCTCATACAGCACAATCCTCTGTGATAGGTAGATTTTTTTTTCTTCAAGGGGTAGGAAAGTTTTCAGAACACTACAGCACAGAGGCTGGCTGATGGCTGGTTTTCTCCTAGTGAGGTGTTATTTAGTTAGGTTTCTGAACTGTTTAATAGGCTGCTACTCCTTCCAGGACTTCCATGTTCCACCATCGTTAGATTCCCAACTAATGATGCCATTAAGGCAGCATTTTCCCTCTGAGATATACTAGTTGCTAATTAAAACTTAGTAATTATACTAAGTATAAATTATGAAACAGAATGTCTTGTATTTGATTTGGGCTGTCCCTTCTTCACTGTGTCAACCAGCATAAAACAGAACTTCCCACTAAAAGTACAGATGAGATTCTTTCTTGTGATTGTACTGTGTAAATTCTAAGATGCTGTTTCCGAGCATTGCTTCATAGTACTTGGAAGTAAACCTGTTTAAGACAGAGCAGTATTTCCCACTCTCACACACACACTCATGCTCCTTATCTTCCTGGAATACCAGTTCCAAGGGACAGCCTTACTTGCAGGCCTGTTTACCTAGTGTCCTGCCCATTCCCACGGCTATGCGGATGTGAGGCAATTTTAGGTGGCTTTTGATACGCTCGATTATGTCTGACAAGGAAACTGGCTCACTCAGTGTGCACAGACGTCCCATTCCAGTGTGGGGAAGAAGAGGCTGAAAAGAAATTAAAATTACTGTGAGAAAGCTGACTCCAGACGCTTGCATTGCTTTCCATCCTGTACAAAGGTGAGTATATCGGGCATTCAGGAATGTCTCTGAACTTTACAAAAATATGTGTGATGACTTCAAATGTAACATTCCAATCACAACAGCTATTGGGACTGATTTAGGAATTAGCACAGGCCACAAATATTTTCATTGCTTTGGAAACCACGTGTGGCTTCAAATCCCCATAAGCCAGTATTTCGGCGCACTGATGGGGTAGCACTGGCAACCTGTGATGCTACTGACTGCTGCATTATTGTGTTTAGGGCACTCAGCTCACACAAGTAATACATTCACAGGAAGTAATTCATGATTTTGTTACCTTTTGTAGCAAGAGAATCTCCGTCTTGTGATAAAGAAGGCTGTTCTGGGACAATAATGCCACCACCTCCAACAGTGCTTTCTGAGAGCAGTTCAAAGTGACTCGTGTTTGCTCCTCACCTTCAACCCTGAGGAAAGATATGCTTGGTGCTTGCTAAGAACTAGATCAAATTTCAGCATTGTAATTATAAAACAAAGCTATTCTGCCTCAGTGGCTGTTTTACCACTGAGAAAGGAAAAAAGAAGGTATTGGAATAGCCTAGCCTAGTTCACTCTCTTGGAAAAAACAGATATGGGAATTTAACTCATCTGACCTCATCAAATTTCCCGTTAATACTCCTCTTTACCACCTCTAATCTATGTAATGCCAGATTTGAGTAGCAGTTACCATTTAGCATGATATAGATTGATCAGAAAGGGACAATTATTCCTTAAGTTTCTAGGTCTCTGCTGAAAAATACAGCAGCAGTGCACAGAGGAACAAAGTGGTTATAATAGTAAAGTACAATTACAGCGACTTATTGTTTCAAGCAGAAAGAGTACAACACTAGAGAGCAGAGGAGATACCTGGCTGGGAAAGTAGTGAGACAAGAGATCTCTTGGATGTCTTTGATTTTGGACAGCACTACATCCAGATGCTCAGTGTCTGTGCAGAATTCTACCCGGTGAGTGCCCTCAGCTGGACAGCTTGGTGCAGTTGATGGATGGAGTGGGACCGAAGTACAGGCACCTGAGAAAACAGTACAAGACTGCTATTTTATAAAGCTGGATAAGTAGCCTAATACTGATTTAGCACATATCCTAAAGAGATACAACAAAAAGATGCAAACTTTGCACTCAAATCCATTTTCCCTGACCAGAAGTGAGGACTTTTTGTCCTGTTGTTTCCATTAGGCAGAGTCTACTTTAAGTCTAAAGAAGTTGATAGATATGTATTATTTGTCATGCTTAGCGCCATCAATTTTATCCTAAGAGTTGTACAAAACTAAAAATAGTTTCTGGTTTGTATGACAGACTGGAAAAGACCCAGCTGTTGTTGTAACCTATGAGTCATAACATAGGATAAAAATCTAAAATAATTTCAGGTAGCTTAAGTCCTTTGCAAACAATGAGATCTTGTACTTTATAAATTAAAGATGGTGATTTAAAGTCGGTGGTCTAAGCTTTGCAACCACAACGGACAATAAATACGCTCCACCAGTTCCGGCTACATCCAATAGTCATGCATCTGGAAATGTCCTTTAGTGTTTGTATCTGGTATACATCACCAAGATAAATTTCCTAAAATATGTTTAAGGTTCTTAGTGCTAGAAAAATACCGTGGGGGAAAAAAAGAAAGAACTATGAAGTCCTGTAAAAGCTGGAAGAAAGGAAAATGAGGAAAGGTCACCACATAAAACAGCATATACCAATGAATAATTTTAACCTTTCTTGGTTTGTTTTTAACAGAATCTCACCGAGTCCCTTTGTCAGCCAGTTATTAACTCCGTGAGGTATGGCATCGTACGCTGTATGTGGAGAGTAAATCCCGATTCTGTGCTCCAGGGCTCGGACCACCAGCCGTTCCTTCCAGGTCTTCCACGTTACTCGCTTGAGCGGCGTGAATATAGGAGGGTGGTAAGAAAGAATGAGGTCTGCCTTCTTTTGCACCGCCTCTTCCATCACCTCCTCAGTGAGATCGTTAGTAAGGAAAAGGGTGTTCACAGTGTGGGGAGGACTTGGTTCCACCAGCAACCCCACATTGTCCCAGCCTTCCGCCAGAGAGAGGGGTGCGAAGTCATTCAGGGCAGAAACGAGCTCCCTGAGGTCCATGAGGGCGCGGGCGGGCAGGCGGCCCAAAGCACGGATGCGGTGGAGAGGCCGGCGAAGCAGCGCCGTGCCAGGCAGCAGCATGCGACGA